AGGTCCAGAAATCCTTGGCTACAACTATGCCTGCTTTGCATTCAGCTCCTACGGCCGCTACTTTCGCGAAATAAAAAAGATGGTCATGCACGAGCTCTTCTCCAACCAGCGCATCGAGATGCTCAAACACATTAGAGAATCTCAAGTTAACATAGCGATCAGAGAAATATACGAGTGGTGGACGAAGAACAAGAAGAGTAGTGGTTCAAATGAGGTGGTGGTGGAGATGAAAGAATGGTTTATGGACATAAGTCAGAATGTCATATTTATGATGATATTAGGGCAAAGATGTTCTGAAGTTACAAATTACGAAAAGATGGGGAGAAAGATTTTCAATGATGTTCTTCATCTGCTTGGGATTTTGGTGGTTTCAGATGCGGTTCCTTTCTTGAGGAGGTTGGACTTGGGTGGCCATGAGAAGGCAATGAGGAAGAAATTTAAGGAGGTAGATCAACTGCTTCAAGGATGGCTAGATGAGCATAAGCAGAAGAGGAAGATTTCTGGTGGGGTGAAGGGTGATGATGACCGTGACTTCATGGATGCCATGATTTCATTTCTTGATGATGATTTGAAAGTTACCAAGGAGTATGATGCTGATACAATCAACAAAGCTACCTCCCTGGTATGTACACATTTTAATACGTACCAACTTCGTCACTTGGCACTTTATATATTATTCCTGTTAATGAAACTACAACTTTCATTTAACTCTGATTAGTACATTCATACAAGTTTGTTAATTTTATATAAAACAATCAGTTTAAACTTTGATTCAATCATATGACTTTAATTGATAATAGGGTAAATATATACTAATCCGAAAAATCTTTTTAACCATGCAAAGCAAGGGGCTTGTAGCTCAACTTATTATGAGCAGTTACCCTTGAGGTCCTATATTCGGATCTCCATACCATCAATATCGCTTGTAATAAAAACAAGAAAAAAAGACAACATGCAAGGGACATTGCTAAATAGAATAGAAAAAGTTTTACTTCTGTCTCTTAAGGCTTTTACTGGCGCTTAAGTGCTGTCAATATTGTCACTTAGTTTTTTCGTGCAGAACTGAGTAAACCCGTGTAATTCGATTCTCTTTCCTATAAGCGTGGCTTTTAATTCTCAGCCAAATCACTAAACCGTTGGATACACAAAATCTAAAGCCTTCATCTACCCAATGTAAGTTTGTGTACTTGTTTCGCAGGCTCTTCTCTTAGCAGGTGTAGATGTAACTACAGGGACATTGACATGGGCACTCTGTTTACTTCTCAACAACCCCGAAACCCTAAAAAGGGCCCAAGAAGAATTAGACCAAAATGTTGGAAGAGAGAGGCAAGTGAAGGAGTCTGACCTCGACAACTTGGTCTATGTCCGCGCGGTTCTCAAAGAAGCAATGCGTTTATACCCTCCCGGACCACTTGCAATGGCCCATATGTCCAGAGAAGATTGCATTGTAGGAGGCTACCATATCCCAGCAAAGACTCCTGTCTTCGTCAACATTGGAAAGATCCAACTAGATCCAAAGCTGTGGCCTGAACCAAATGAGTTCCGGCCAGAACGATTTCTAACAACCCACAAGAACATTGATGTTAGTGGTCAGGATTTTGAGTTGCTACCATTTAGCAGTGGAAGAAGAATGTGTACAGGGGCATCTTTGGCCATGAAGATGATGCCGTTGGCACTTGCTTCTTTGCTTCATGGGTTTGAAATTGCGACCCCAGGGGATAAGCCTGTTGACATGCGTGAGACAATGGAGTTGACTAACCATAAATCCACCCTTCTTGAAGTCCTTGTCATTCCGCGCCTTCCTGCTCAACTATATGAGCATCATAAATAAAGCCAACTGCTATGTTATTATGTGGGATGGAAGTTACATGAAGTTGATAGGGACTGTCATGAAATAGTGAGATGCACTAGATGTATCGTTACACAGTGTCCATTCCAATCAATAAATTGTTTTATTTTCAGTGTCATTTTGGGTTTTACAATTTTAACATTGAGTATTTGCCTGCTTGAAAATGTTGTAATGTGATTCTAAAGCTACTGATCGTCACGAAATGCGTCTTCAACAGGTCACACTTGAGACCCAATATTATTTTCTTTGGTGGACAATTACTTGAAGATTCTAAACTTTAATTCCAAATAAGATATAAAATTAAATAAAAGCCTTATCAGCCCTACACACATGCTTTCATTGTGAAACCCCGTATTTATAAAATTATATAGTTTAAAGATTTAATATTTTTCCATTTAATTTATAAATTTGTATATTATATATGTGTGTATTACATAAATATCCTATTATATTATATATGGATATGCTTAGTCATTGTTAGTGTAGTTATGTGTAGTCATTGCTATTATGGATATACTTAGTCATTGTTAGTGTAGTATGTGTCAAAGAAAAACAAATGCTTAGTAAGCATAGCTATATACTAGCTCTGTCAATTCACCAAGAAAGGTTGTATAGGATTGGAGGAATTGGGAACTACCTTATCTGCAAAGCTAGACCACCACATGAATAAAACTTGGATAGTAAGTATTTGTAAACCGCCAAACACCATCCAATAGGAAAGGAGTCACTGCCGACATATTCTATATATATAGGACATTATGTGCATAGCAAATTAAGAGAGAGAGAGAGAGAGAGAGAGAGAGAGATGATGATGATGAAATTATTGGAGGAGATATAGGACTTAGCTTGTATTTTCTTAAATTGGAGCAATGCTTTGGAATCGAGGTAGGAGTTTTTTGTGGGCCTTTACGGGGATTGATCTAATTAAATTTCGTGAGCAATATATTATGCATGATATTATTATTTGATTATTATTGATATTGGGTGTTTAAGTGTTGTTAATTATGATTATATCATTTGATTAATATTGACATGTTCATATGTTGTCAGTTGTGGTTGGAATTCTTGGATTAATAAAGAAATTATGGAAAAGAGGGTAATGGGAAGAATCTTTTGTATAGTTGAGTCTGACCATTGTAGGGACCAAGTTCAGGCGAGCCCGTGTGCACAGTAGATTAGGAAATCGGCGGTATAATTGTCGATTGGGTGATTTGGGCTTGGAGATCAATGGTGTAGACAAGACGACTAGCAAAAGGGGAATTATGGGATAACTGAGATGGGTGTTAGTTTATGTAATGGGGCATTCGGAATCACAGTGGTAAAATGCATGGTATGGGACGTGCAGGTTTGCTTGCCCTATTATATAAATTAACGGGTTGGGTAGAATTGAAGAGCATTCATGCCTTATCATTATCATTATTATTATTATTAACATGATATTTCCCTGTGTGATTGCATGTCACTTAATTTAGTTATATCAATTTACTGTGGTAAGGTCTCATGTCCCTCTTGAGCTGTGGTTGCTCACTCCTCACCCTGTTTAATTTTTCAGATGAATTAGTGGGCAAGAAAAGGAATAAACCAGTTGAGGCTGAATTAGATGAGAGTAGTATAGCATTTGTTTATATATTGTAAAGTTGTAAGATTTTGGAGATATTTTTATAAGAGAAGTTTATTTTAAACCCATGTTTCGGTTTCTTTTTGTTTTATTTTACTTTTTATTTTCTCACGCTCCGGGCGCGGGATTTCCACTGACCCCCGAGTCCGAGGTGTGACATTCATCTCTAAGTCTCTCAATGTATGAGCCCAACAACCAAAGGTCAGAGCAACCCTAAATCCTCAAAGTTGAAAGGTCCCAATCGAGCACTCTTCTTTTTCTTTTTCTATTTTTGATTTGTATGAAAATACTTGCCTTATTATGATTCTTGATTTCTTTTGTTTACTAACACATAATGAATAAACAATTCTAGGAGTTTTGGTATGTTGTGAGATGCTTTGACAAGGTGTTTGAGTCGAGAGTATTTGAAGGTTGTTCAAATAAGTGGTTGTTCAAGTCTCTCAATGTATGATGTCAGAGCAATCCTAATCCTCAAAGTTGAAAGGTCCCAATCGAGTACTTTTTTTTTTGCGTGTGTCTGAAAATACTTGAATTATTATGATTCTTGATTTCTTTTGTTTACTAGCACATAATGAATAAACAATTCTCAGAGTTATTGATTATAACAGGTAATCCAAAACCCAAAAAAGAAAAAAAAGAAAAAAAGAAAGGAATTGGATTAATCAGGGTGGTAGTTGAATATCGTTTGGCCAAGACAGTGCACCCCTCTCCGCACATGAGTTTGATCCCCTTACCCATATATTGGAGTAATTATTAGAATATTATTGAGAAAATTAGAGTACACAACTCTAATATAAATTGGTTGGAGACAAAACAAATAAACAAATTACTTGTATTAGACTCACAAAATATTACAACAAGACAACTCTCAAAGAAAAGACAAACTCTTACAATCACTCTTTCTCACTTCTAGAGACAAACTTTCACACTTCACAAGGACTTCTTAGCTCTATACTCACTCTCCTTCTTGACTTCTTTTTTGATTCTTGGTTAATTACATTAATAGGCTTCATGCCTGTTTATAGTTGTTGTTGTCGACTTTGCTCTCCATCCCACCTACAATAGCCACATATTTGTTATCTTCCAGAAAATTCTCCAAGCTTCAATTTGGCTACCGACTTGCTTGACCGACTTTGGCTTTCTTCTTCTAGATATATTTATTAGGTAAAATAAGAATTTTTCTCTGATTTTTATTTTTTATGATAGCATACACTACGAATTTTTCTCTGGCTAAATTATTCAGGTGGGTTTGTGGCGTTGATGGGTTTGTGGTTTGGACTGTTGGGATTGTGGCTTGGACTTGGGTCTGCAACTCTTGGCACCCCACCCTCCCCATCCTCTCTCTCTCTCTCTCTCTCTGAACAAACCAAGAGCCTTGCTGCCCCACTTGGACTGTTCGAATTTTATTCTTCTTCTTCTTGTGCTTGTGGGTTTGTGGTGTTGATGGGTTTTGGTGATGATATTCCTTTTTTTTTTGTTTTTTTTCCTTGAGGCCCCTAGAAGACACCAAGTCCATTTTTATAACTTAAATGAGAAATGAATTGGTCATACCTGTAGGAGTGACCGATGCTTGAGAAACTGAAATTCCACGGCTTGATTTTATTGGGTATATATGAATATCGATTGGCTATGGCATCTGATTCTGATCGAGAGAGAGGGATGGAGTTTTTTTTCGGGGGGGGGGGGGGGGGGGGGGGGTAGGGGGGGGGGGGGGGGTATGGAGGTAGAGAGAGAGAAGATTTATATTTTAAATTGAGTGGTGATTTCCCCCACTCCTTTTTCTCCTATTTTATCCACTTACACTCCTTTTTTAGTATAAAAAAGGAGTGTAAGTGGATAAAATAGGAGTGGGGAAATCATTGCCCTTTAAATTTTGTGTGAAAATACATTTTTGCCCATGCCAAGTAGAACTTGTCCATGCTACGTCATCATTTTTAACGGAAAAGTTGACTGAGATGACGGAAAGGACAATTTCTGAAAGTGGAAGTATAATTAAAGCACTATCGTAACAATTTAGCAATATGAGTGACGAAAAGTAAAGTTTGGTTTTAGTTCAGAGACCATTGCTACAATTTAGCCTATTTCTTACTATAATAATATAGGATATCTAACTTTTCTAGACTAAACTAACCGACATGCAACTCTAGAATTGTGTAGATATTTTCTCTTCAACAATAGGCTGGGCATGGGTTGTTATCTTCCTTGGGCTGGTGTTAATACTTTAACAAATATCGCTTCATTGCAACTGAGTTCAATCCCCCTCCCCGTACATTACAGTAGTTAGAATATCATTTTATTTTAAATAAATAAAAACGTACCATTTAAATGTAGTATAATAATCACCGTTGGTTGGATATGTATGGCCATAAACACAAACCCAAGAGGTCCAGGCGGAACACTCAAAGCAGCACTACAGCATTGAAGCTGAAAAATCCATGACAAAAGAAGGGGAAACACAGATTAATCACAAAGACCCAATGTACGTGCCAAAAATGTCTGTGGGCTTTTGGGGTGAACACTGCGATGCCCAAGTTTCTTGCAGGTTGTATGACAGGAACCGCCTCGAATTTCCAGAAACCCGAGACAGTTTCTGTGGAAATTCCGACATCACCTCGATGCCGGGTCCACTTACTAAAGACCGAGACTTTCCACCAAAATTTTGACAGAGTCTCTCCTGTAATTTGAACATTCCCTAAATTTCAACATGCACAAAATTCACAATTTAATATCTCAACAGGCAGCACGCACAATATAACAACATGCAGTTCACATAGACGGCCTCCGGCCTTCAAATAATCCAAAGCGAAACCACCAACAAACTCTAAACAATGCCAATAATGAATTCATACAATTTATGAATGCCCACTATAATCAATATAAAATAACTACCCAAATATCCAACATACGAGGTTTTAATCTCCTAACACAATCACATCTCGTTTTCACCCATATTTCAGGATCAACAACAAGGTCAGAACCAATCTCAATAAAACATAATTAATATTTAGTCTGCAGCTGCACCTGGGCACTGCCCTAGGCTGCCTACGTACTCTTACTGAGGGACCAAGCCACACGTATTTCTTTCTACTAAATCCCGATTCCAACCACCTACAGAACCTTTATTCATCTCCCTGTTAATTACATAATCTCCCCATACGCTGGAAAATCCAACGCCACGTATGGGGCCTGTCTCACTCGCCGGAAGAATCCCACGATACGTGTGAGACCTAATAATCACATAAAATCTTCCCATACACCGAAACATCCAACGCCACGTATGAGGTCTGTCAGCACACCGGAAAATCCTACGCCACGTGTAACCTAACAATTATATCATCTCCTTATACGCCGGCACATCCAATGCCACGTATGGGGTCTGTCCTCATGCTGGAAAATCCTACGCCACGTGGGACCTAACAATCACAAAATCTCCCCATATGCCGGAACATCCAATGCCACGTATGGGGTCTGTCTCAATGCCGGAAAATCCTACGCCACATGAGACCTAACAATCATAAAATCTCCCCATACGCCGGAACATCCAACGCCATGTATGGTGAAGTGACATGATGAATGTATTGCGCTCGTTGATCTCAACCTCTAATCAA